GCGGTGGGTAGGCAAACCCGCCAAGCGACTGCGTGGAGCGGGTGGCCCGCCCTGCCCTGTGGTGAGCCTCTCACCGCACAGTGAAGTGCAGTGAACAGAACAGGGCGGACCGGGCAAGGGAACGTTGAGCGCCAAAATCTCACCTCTCACCGACACACATGAAAACCCACAAAATATATATGGCCATATGAACTCGTTAATTCGCAGTCTTCGACCTATATTTAGAAAAGTAGAGAAAATATTGTTTCTCGCTATACCGATGCGATATCATCTCGTTGCCACTTGTCGTTTGATGTGGGTAAACCTCCGGTACCGCTAACGACACGAATTACGTTAACTGTTTTTGTTTTAATTTTTGGATATTTTAACTAAACTTTGGCATTGGAGGCAATCGTGCCGGGCAAATAAATATAGCCAGCAGTTTCATGCAAGCACTCTCCTGCAACAAAATGAAATTCCTCTGTTTTCGTATTGCGCGGTTGCTCTGTCTTCGCCCACAATCTGCAGCTGCGGTGACTGACGAGCGACGCCCAAACGCGCCGTCGCTACCGTTAGCCTATAGACCTCCAGCGATGGCAATACGTCGCGCTGGTCGCGCTATCATCTCGTTGGTGGCGATACTCCTTGCATGGAGTCGATGCCCCCTCCGACCGCAGGTTGAGGTTCTGGCTCTGGCCTCAAACAGTCTCGTCTCTCACCGCCAGACTCCCTCTGGCGGCTTCCAGCAACAACTTAACCTCAATTTCGAGATCTTTCTGCGGCCGTGGACCTGACAATCTCCTTGTTTGTGGTGTTCTCTGCACTTGCACTGAATCCTTGTTCCACGAATTACTTTTCGGTTTGTCCTATTAAATTTTAAACATGGTGGATTACAGCAGGTGGAAAGATATTGAGGCAAGTGAAACTTTAAGTTAGAATACTCCAATTGTTTGCTTTCTGCAAACACATAAAATTTTGCTTTGTTTGACAACCAGCAATTTATTTCCCTTGAACCTATGTTACATTTTGTCTGTGTTTATTTTTAATAGTTCAGCACTCTAAATGTGCTTCATTCAATTTTAATGAACCTTGTGCATATGTTCCTTGAATTCTTATCATCTTCCTTGGACTATCTGCAGATTTCAGATGACGAAGATGAAACACATCCCAACATCGACACACCCTCTCTGTTTCGATGGAGACATCAGGCTCGGGTTGAACGTATGGAAGAACAGAAAAAAGAACAAGAAGAGTTAGAAAGGAAAAGAGTAGAGTATGTATCAACCCTATTTGTTTAAAGCATGTGCCTGTGCCCTTCTAATGTCACTCACTTTATCGTATCTTTGTCTCTAGGCATGAAAAAAAGTTAAAGGAGGCGCGTCAAAAGCTGGAAGATGCTAAAAAGCAAGGCTTGGATATGAGTGAACTGTCAAAAGCCTTGAAAAGCCTAGAGAAAGAAGAGGAAGAGATTAATAAAAAGGCCAATGAATTGAAATCAAAAGAGAAAGTAAGTGTAGTAGCTTAAATGTCAAAATTTGATAATATTTTGTGGTTTCTCTGGGTTTTTACTTTTTTCTTTGCCTCAGGTTACCCCATGGAATGTTGATACAATTAGCAAACCAGGTTTTGACAAGACTGTTCTAAATGTTGCTCCAAAACGGCCCAAGGATGAAGATTTGCCTGAAGAGGAGAGAGAAAAGAAAATGAGAGAATTTGTTAAGGCGCATGAGAAAGAATTAAAACAGTATGGCATGTTTAAGCGATATGATGACTCAAAACGCTTTTTACTAGAACACCCACACCTTGTGAGTTTTCTTTCTAGTCTATCATTTATTTCATGTTTACTGCCTTTCATACTGCAAAGTTTGTTTAATGAGTCCTAACTTATCAGGTTGGGGACAATACTGCAAATTACCTTGTTATTTGGTGCATAAACCTGCAAATGGAAGAAAAAGAGAAATTAATGGAGCATGTTGCACATCAATGCATTTGCATGCAATACATCTTAGAACTTGCTAAACAACTAGATGTTGATCCCCGTGCTTGTGTTGGCCAGTTCTTTACAAGGTATGTGAGATTGTTTAAATTAAATACCAGATACCTTAAAGAATTATCTTGATCTGGAAGTGACCTAACTAATCTATTTCTAACATGCTATTAGAATTCAAATTGCTGATGCTGAGTATAAGACAGCCTTTGATGATGAGCTTCGTGCTTTCAAAGAAAGAATTAGGAAACGAGCCGAGGAAAAAATAAAGGAAGCAATGAAAGAACAGGAGGAGGAGGAAAGAAAAGCACGACTGGGCCCTGGAGGCTTGGATCCAGTTGAAGTCTTTGAAAGTCTTCCACAGGTAAGATAACTGTCTTCTGAGATGTTGGTTGAGACATAATGTAGTGCTCATGGAAATGCTGGTGATGCAATATATCCTCTTTATTTTCTTTTTAGGAGTTGAAGGCTTGTTTTGAAACCCAAAATATTCCTCTTCTTCAAGAGACCATTGCCAAAATGCCTGAGAGTGAAGCTGTATATCACATGAAACGATGTGTAGACTCAGGTCTTTGGGTTCCCTCTGCGAATGAGGGCAAGGCAGGTGGTGCAGAAGGGGATGCTGAGGATGTTGAGAAAGAAGAGGACCAGTATGCAGAAGTTGGTGGTAAAGCTTAAAAGATAAAGTGATTCAATCTTGCTGCAAAACTCATCTGTAACTACTCTTTGAAATTGTTTGTCTTATGCTGGAAATTCAGCAGTCTGCTCATAAAATATTCTTTATAAATTAATCTTTTACTGTGTAAAATATTTTAAAGATAATTCCTAGCATAGTCTTTATGTATTGTTTCACCCCATGTTCGTCTTACATTTGTAAGATGTCCCAAAAGCATGTGTGTGTGTATCTTCTATTTTTCTTTCTGTTTTTGAACAATTTTATCTTGTTGTGAAGTTTCTATGAAATTAGCCATCAGCTTTGTGAAAAATATTGTGTGATAAACAGTACTGTAATTGAAGGTAACAATGCGTTTATTGAGTTATAGTTTCCCAATTAAAATGGACTTTACTCCAGAGTTTTCTAACTTAACAAAAATAAGAAAAATATTCAGTCTACGACCTTGCTTGGTTAATCATATTTTGAATGGGGATTAGTCGGGATATCTCTACAAAATCTCGGCACAGCGGACACTGTGCTCTAGTTTGCAGCCATCCTGAAATACAAGTCCAACAGAACACATGGCCACAAGGTGTTGCTGTATCTTGAGTACGGGCCTCCAAACATAACGAGCATCGGTAATAAGTTAGCACACTATCACTCTTCGGTGGTCCATCTTCCTCAAGTTCATTTCCTGTAGTCAAGGAACTTCTTAATCTGAAATGATAAGGAAATAATACTTTAGGTTACACCCATTGAATACATGGTTTTGATTTTTATCTAAAAGAAAGTGAAATCATACTTGGGCATTGTAGCAGGAATTGTTTGTGCCCATTTGACAATTGTTATTGACGTATACAACATTAGCTGCAGTAGTGTTACAGTGCTTAACAATTGGAACCCTTGTAATGTTGAGTGATCTTTTAGCCATCGTCTGACCAAGACCTGAAATAATGTTTGAGTTCAATTCAAGTATTTAAAAACAAAGTCAACCCAAAGAATGACACACAAGAATATTATGTACTTACATAACGAATTCCAGCAAGTCGCTTTGACAAGAGGAAATATTCTCCTCCCCAATAGAAAACTCCTTTATGGAGTCGGGTAATGAAGACCAGAATGCTTTTTAAAGTGCTGAGAGCCTCTAAAAGAGATGCTCTAGCATCAATAGTAAGATCTGAAGGTGCAAGAAGACGGCGCTTCAGAGCTTTAATTATGTTTTCACATATAATTTCCCCAAAACATTCCAGCATTAATGCTAAGAGTCTTCGCTGCAGTTGACAGAGGTGATGAAGAGTAATGATGTATTAAACTGGTTAATTAATAAATAAAATCTCTCAATGAAATTTGACATACCTTTGTTGATGGTAGCTTTCTCATCCTATGGTTAACTTGAAGTATACCAGTATATTCCTCTCCAAGTGTCTGAATATCAGAAAGAGTAGTAACAGCAGAGTATAATACTTTTGCTATTACCGGTACCGAACTGTGGTATTTCATCCAAACACGATTGCCTGATGTACAAAAAACAAACCAGATAAAAACCCTCGTAATAATAAGCTACAGTAGGACCTTAAGAGTGCTTTAATCTTTTTGGAAAAAAATACCTGCGGCTTTTAAGAGTAAATCTGAGGCCTCATGATGTATTCTTTCAACCATTAGCTCATCTCGTTGGGCAGCTCGTAGCACTTCTGCAGTGCCCGCAGGTTCGAGTGTGTGTTGCCTTGGCTTCATTTTGTTTTTATTTACACAGCAGATAAATTTCCTCAGTGTGCTATCACAAAATTATCTGAGGACTGCAGATTTATTTAACAAACAAACGGCTATTTAAAAGTAAGACATGACTAGATGACTGAGTACTGAGCCTAACAGTTGTAGCACGAAGCGCATGAATCGTTACGCAAAACATTTAAAATACATCATTCAGTCCTGTTTCATGATCCTCAAGGCAAAAACAATTTGATCTTGCTCAAGGAATTGCTGAGCAAGAGCAAGTGTCAACAAACTGCGAATAACTCATCATAATCGTGCAAATATCACCCTGACTAAACATGTCAACAATCATATGAGAAACTTACACTCGCGTGCATGAATGGGCGAGCGCGGCGGCGGGACGGCCGAGCTGCAAAAAGTGTTTGAGCATCTTGCTTGTGTGTAAAACTTGGTGTATCGTATCTAAAGTCGTTAATGACAGCACATTATTGACTGTCCTGTTTGTTTTTCAAACTCTGAGGTTAATTTCTTGTTTTCCTGAACTTAACACTGTGATCATCAGTTTATCAAACAATAACCGGCACCTACTTGAGCAGAACAAGTTGGTTAGGGCGTCGTGTGTTTGCTCGTATGCAGTCTGGTGCCGATATGTCTGGTTTTATTGGTGTTCACGCAGGTAAGAAACTATGCCATTCCTCCCGGTAATTTTTCATTTCTAGACTGTAGTATTACCATTAATAACTTCTCATGAACGAATCATGCAGGGGCAGGAGATCATTCTGATGATGCAAGTTTGGCATACAAAAAAATTTGCAGAGAGGCATGTAAAAAGGTAAGTTTACCAGATGCAATTATCAGTTATATGTCTTATCTTTTTGCTTATCAAGTGTGATCCGGCACAGGGTGCATCAGTTCTCAAAACCGGTGGAAGTGCCTTGGACGCAATAACTGCAAGTATAGTTGCTCTGGAGGATTGTCCCTTCACCAATGCTGGATTTGGATCTAACTTGACATGGACTGGTACTGTAGAGTGTGATGCTTGTGTTATGGATGGAGAGAGTTTAGCCTGGGGCGGCGTTGGAGGTGTACCAGGTATTCAGAATCCTATTCTCATGGCCAAAAGTTTGTGTGTTAGACAAACAGGAAAAGAACTGGCAATGGGTCGGATTCCGCCATGGTGAGTCAGGTTTTCTTATCAAGTTCACCCCCATAGTTTTTAATGCAATTGAAAAATAGCCATAGTTTCCTTTGCAGCTTATTAGTTGGAGAGGGAGCTCGTTTGTGGGCTGAAGAGGCAGGTATCCCTACCACAGATCCCAAGTCTCTTATATCAGGTATAACACACTTTGTCGTAATATAGTGACGTATTTACATTCCTGCTTTTCATTCCTTTGTTTTATATTAATTTCAGATAAAGCAAGAAGAATTTATAATCATTATAAGAAGAAACTGGGAAAGGAACAAAAGAAGTCAATTGATGTATGTTACAAGATTTGAATATGGTTGCCAATCTTATATTTTAAACAGATCTCACCAATTTATTTTTGTTCCTCAGATGCTTAGTCCCCTAGATACAGTTGGTGCTGTTTGCATTGACAGCAAGGGCCATGTTGCTGCTGCCAGCTCTAGTGGGGGGATCATTTTAAAACACTCTGGCAGAGTCGGACAGGTCTGTCATTGCCTAAACTTCCTTTTGTTGTGTTTTAAAACGATTGCTGATAACATTACTTTTGTTTGCAGGCTGCAATGTTTGGTTGTGGGTGTTGGGCACAAGATGGAATTGAGGGCAAAAATTCAGTAGCAACCAGCACATCAGGATGTGGAGAATATTTAACTCGCACCATGCTAGCGAAGGAAGCAGCTTCAGATCTCACCAATGCAAGTTGTGGGAGCACGTGCCTACATGGTACAATGGTAAACAAGTTTCTTGGTAAGTTGAGGATTAATTTTAACAATAAATGAGCGATTTCTTAGTTTTTCATTTTGTAGAGCTATTTTTGTACTCTCTTTACATACCTAATGTGTTCTCTTCTTGATTCTTGTTTTGATAATAGGATCACCCTTCCTAGCTGGTATCTCAGAACCCTTTGGTGGGATAATTGCATTAAAATGTGATGAAGAAGGAGTGGGTGAATTTTTATGGTCACACACTACTCGAAGCTTTTGTATTGGATATATGAATTGCCAAGATAAATCTCCAAAGGTATATGAATCTTCAGAGACTTAACAAATAATTCTTCTGGTATTTGATCTTTTAGTAATCTGGTTATTGCTTTTTTCTCACAGAGCCATATGTCTAAACTTCCCAGTGGTATGGAACCAGGAACCAAAGCAATTGTGGAAGGTGTAGGCTTTGTCCTAAAACAGCATTTAGATACTGAAACTGAGATGCAATCTTCAACTTCCTGAATAAAAGGTAACAAATACCAAATTGAAAAACATTGGTAAATTTTAATACACAAAACTACTCTGCAAGTGTCATTGTGTTCTGAGTTCATGTTTGGGTTGCTGTCACTGCGCTCTTCCTGCTACTGAAGTGTACTCTTGGTCTTTTCCCTATTGACCCAAGTTCTCTAGCATACTCTGAGAAATACGGTCACCGCAGACATTCTGCATTTTGGTCCCTGAGTCACAGTTTTCTGATGCGCAACGCCCCAGGGAGCATAAGTATTGTTCTTAAAAAAGAAGCCAAATACTTCAAAACAATTGCGTTTTGGAGGTATACCAGGTGGCTGATTCACGCCGCGCACTTTCGTAGTTATACTGTACCGCATGCACGGGTACGGGTGCGGGGGTTTGCCTATGCTCGCAGCGCACGGCTCCTTACGGCCCCGTGCGAGTAGGCACCCCGTCCGCACGCGTGCATGCGGAACAGTATGACTACGAAAGTGCGCGGCGTGAATCAGCCACCTGGTATGGATTCCATATGAACTCTGTCGATACCTCGCGGTGCCGGAGCGATGGCTATACTTCCTGTCACAAGAGACACACGAGCGAGCGCTCGGCCACGACACTACTCCCTGCGTTGAGAGCCCCTATCAATGACAGTGGAGCGCGTCCGTCTACGGGTTTTTCAGGCTGCCGAGCCAAAATGACCGATCACAAACTATGAGCCGACACTCGCTGAGTATGAGTATGTCTTCTGCGTTTTCTATGGTACGGCTGTCTCTAAAATTGCGAAAAACAAAACAAAATGTAAGGTGCAAAAAGGGGGCCCGTGAAAAAAATCCTTCAGACAAATTTGCCTTTGCTGGTATCATTGTCGCCAGGGCGTAGATCAGACGGGAATACGGAGCGGGTCGGAGCGACACCAGACCGTTTACCGCCACCGATTTGCATGAGAATGGCGAAGAATGGGGTTAGATGGCGCCATTTCACAGCCCAGTGGGTCGGCCGTCCCCGCCCCGCCACTCCCTGCTGTCTCGCCCTTCACCAGGGTGATCCGCGCGACCCTGACTTCCGCCTTATTTCTTTCCCATTCTTGTTTCCCCTCGGAGAAGAAAATTGAGGAACTTCTTTTTCCTTTTACTTTTGTAAAGTATCTCTGCTGGCGAGATATTCCATGCAGACCGCCCCACTGGTGCGATCGCGTCTTTTCTCGGCGAGAACGCTGCCAGGGTTGTAGGGAAGGGAAACGAGGGACCGCTACTTTTTCTTCCCAAGAATAATACTGTTTCCGGAATTTTAGTTGTTCTCCAGTTCCCTTGCTCTCCTTTTATCACCATCGTTGTGGTGCCGGTGGCGCCAACCGGTCCAGGACGTTGCTTGTTTTTAAGGCTCAGATTTCTTTACCATGTGGGTGTTCTAGTCCAACCAAATAATGTAAAATCAGAAAAACTAAACCGCTGGTCTGTGTCTCTTGCTCGAAATTTGAACCCGTAACATTGCGAAGGGTAAGCTGTGCTGGAAACCCCAAGTTTGTGCATGTCGAGCACTTATAAGTGTGTGTACGACATCCGTACCTACACATAGAGGCACAAGTGTGTGAATCTCATAGAAGAATTCACACATTTACTCCTTTAAGTGTATGAATGGGCATTCACACACCTACAATAAACAACACACACTCGCGTTTCCAGTGCTGCTAATTTTTTTTTATTTTTTTTTGCCCTGTGGAGGAATAATTTTTATTCGGCTGCTGACTTATTTTCGCCATAGTCACGTGTGGCCCCTCCGGTCCGGTGGCGCCAAGGGCACAGCGGGCCCCCTGTCTCATGTCAAAGTGTCGCCGGTGTCGCCCCGGGGGCCGCGGGCCGCCGCAGGCCGCGTCCGTGCGGGGGCCCTGTGCCGCCCTGTGCCGTGCGGGCCTCTGTCATGTATATTTGTGTTTCGAGCGGCGGATGTTGTTGTTGGTCGTCCGCCTGACTGCCGTGTCGTCCGACTTCTTGGCTCTATCCATCGCAGGGTGGGAAGCGAGAGGGAGGGAGGGCCCTGGCCGGGGCCCTGGCGCCCACCACCCGGCGACCTGCAGCCCCCTGTGGCACAGGGCCTGCGCGACCGTCTCCCATGTTGTTGCCTCAAACTTCGGCCCGGTTGGGCGGCGGTGGGATGTGCCAGGGGTGAATTTCATCGCCCTTGCCCCTGCCTGCACGACCGCATGCACTGGAAACGCAAGTGTGTGAATGTCGCACACGTGTAGGTGTGGGAATGTCGCTTACTTTGAGGTCTGTGAATGCCCGTTCGTACTTTTCAGGGAGTAGATGTGTGAATTTTCCTTTGAAATTCACTAACTTGTGCCTCCATGCTGTTTACGGTACGAATGGCAAATGGCGTTCAGCGTTCACACATGTATCCTTGTGCGCCATTCACACACTTAGGTTTCCGGTGTAACCAATTTTGACACAATACGATAGCGAAACGATAACGTATTGGGTCAAGCGTCCCTTCGGAGAAAGTGTAAAAAGCATATATACGCGAATGGGGCGGGTATAGAGGGTGTTCCACAAGCCAATTATTGTTGTGATGAATGAAGCTCGTCGTGCTCTCTTTTGCCAGCCTCGGCTCGGCATGTGTGAAACTGATGGGCTCATAGTGTGGCACCGATAGTGGCAGCGTGCTGGCGTCCGGCCCCGCCACGGCCCCGCCCCTGCTGGCAATCCGAGAGCAGCTCCGCTAGCGGAGAGACAATGCAACACAACAAGCCCACCATGGACCCACAAATTTAATCTTCTTTCGGGTCAATAGACCAAGTATATCCCATTCTGTCTATTACCCCCGCCCCCCTCCCCTTCCCGCTTTCATTCGGATCTTGTTTCCTGTTATGGGCATTAACTTTGGTTTGGGGGATGAAGATGGAAGTGAAGCGAGCAGCATGAGCCTTTGGGGCTTTTGTCGCGTTGGTCCATGGAATTTCCATTCTCTAATCTATTACCTTTTCCTCAGCTCATAAACTAATTGATAAATTTGTATAAAAACTAACTGTTGTTAATATTGCAAGTGTTTCATGCACACTTTGGCGTGTGAATATCGCACACTTAGGTTGTAAGTATGATAACGTGGTATTGCGCTTATAACTGTTGGACTGTATCACACTGGAATTTCCAGAGCAGGTTTCACTGGTAAAGGTATGCGACGTCGCATGATTCGAATTGGAATTGTGTGACATTCGCACGCTTTGGTCGGAACACGCTGCTGCTCAACAGCCTGCTCACATTTAAATGTAACGCATCTCGCGTGACTCTGCGAGGCCCTCCGCGTTGTCCTCCAGCCTCCCACTCCCCGCTGCTCGTCTCACACGAAGCGGAGCGGCGGCTGGTGATTATTGTACTGTGTTGGCGGGGCGGGGCGGGCGTGACGCGTGGAAGCGCACAGCAGCGCGGCCTATTGACTCATCACCCCGGCGCGACACTTCTTTTCAACGCCAGCAGCGGTAGCGGCGCGAAGCAGGCGCAAAGGGGCAACGTTATATGGCGTTTGTTCGTCGGGCGGACAGTATCGCGGTGGGGCGGGGCGAGGCGGGGCGAGGCGGGGCGAGGCGGGGCG